ACTTCCCCTCATGTGGCTCTCTGTCATTTTTCTATTCAACTGTATTTCACTACCATCATTTTTCTATTCAACTGTATTTCACTGTTGAAGCGACAGGAGAAAAATACGACCACATCTTGCCAACCTTCTTTTACAACAGTAACAAGTCATGTGACTATATGCTTGTTCAATGTCGAGTAATTTACCTTGAAACAGTGTTTCACATGATGTGTAATAGACCTGATAAGGCTCCTCCAAGCTCATGCTTCTACACTACGCGGGTGACACGAGTCCCCGAACGACGCTCCACAGAGGCCGGTGTCCTGCGCCGCGACACTCCGGTCCTGATGAACCGTACTCCCTACATGCCTGGATGTCCTCACCGGGGCCCTCCAAGGGGGCCGCCTGACTGCCCACAGGCCAACTCCTCTCCACCACTTGCTCCCAAACAGCCTTTTAATAGGTTTTAAAAGAGGGTTATTAACATCACCTGCTAATTATGTTAAGGACCTAATTAGAGAATGAGGGAAAAAAAGGGCCTTTTTGTCTAATTAGGTTTTCTTTCTAAGTACACTGATAACCAAGGGAATGCTGAGATCTCCGTAGAAATGAGAGTGCAATGAGCCAGTGAGAGGATGCTTCAGAAAAAGAGTTAACCCTTTCATCAGAGCCCAACTCTATTAACAAGCCACTGGCAGAGTGCAATTACCTCCTAAATCGTTTATTTGGGACATGTTTATCTGGAGTGGGAGTCTGCATCATTTAGCGCATTATAAACTCAATAGAAGCTTCATTAGCGATTACAGTCAGTGGGTGGTATTACCTGCCTGATATCCGACCACAGCCTGATGATATCAGCTCCCGCCACTGAATTACAAGGCAGGGGTCTAATTTTTCAGCCTACGCTGCTCGGTCCTCGCTGTTTCCTCCACTCAGCCGCTACCCCGATTGTGCACACGCCAGCAGCACTTCTCGGGGCCTTCAGCTGCAACTTAGGAATGGGAACAGACAACATACAACGGCTTAATCAGAAAAAGACTGGGGCGCAAGAGGCCGTAGCACGGAGGACAGGTTTTAAGAGAAATAATGGAAGTTTTGGGTCAAGTTTTATCAAGGAGTAAGAATAGAAGAAAAAAAGTGCGTAAATCCCATAGGTCAACATGATGGCTGATGGGTATTTTCATGGTTATTTCACCATTATCATTGTTTATTTTAGTTTTTCAAAGCATTAAGATGTATTGGTATCTATTTGTTATTTATTTTAATTTTCTTATCAATGTCAAAAAGGTTTTAGTTTTTGTAAAAACTGGGTTAAATTATCTGAGTATCTAAGTTGTTGAATATTAGGTAAGAAGTAGAATTTGATTGGGTGAATAAACTGGATGTATTTTGCCTGAGTTGAAAAATCTTCTTTTTTTTTTGAATTTTGCCTGAGTTGAAAAATCTTTTTTTTTTTTCCAATTTATCTTCATAATACATACTGACTTTTGTTTTGGGCTGGAAAAAGTCAGACTAATGTGTTTCAGATACATTTTTATGTGATTTTTTTTTTGCTCTAAAAAAAAGAAAAAAGACAGCGATGTAAATGTCACAAAGTTAGGTCTTTGGCTTCATAGTATTTCAGACATCACAAGAGTTTGTGTCTGCTGCTGAGGCCTGATGGCGGCGTCAGAGGTCAGCACATCATCTCTGCCTGGTGGCAGCAAGGCAAATCACAGTGTAATTTAACAATGAGGAGATGGGAGTAAAGATAGGAGGGTAACGAGGAATGAAAAGGAGCCGGTGTGATGCCCGCGGCCGCGTGCGACAGGAGTCAAGTGTTGGGAACCTACGGCAGCACTTCCTGTGTGATTACATGTTTAATTTACTTCACATCTCAAAAATTGTCTGCTATGACAGAGCCAATTTACAATGATCCCCGTGTGAGTGTCAGGCAAACGAAAAGAAGGCTGCAATGAAATCCCTCCCCACAGCCTCTAATGGAATCTCAATGAACCCCTGTGCCGGTGGGTCCGAGAGACCAGACAGCTCCACCATTAGAGCCGGAGACTGGCTTTTACCTGAACACCACTCTCCTCAGCACGGCATTTATTATCACTTCTTTCTCCCAGGTTGAAATGCTGCCAATCTGGAAGGAAAGGTGTGGGGGAGGAGGAAGGAGGGAGGGGAGGCATGGAGGAAAAGATGGTCCCTTAACTTAGACCTGCTGTACCTTAACATTTGCCACATCAAGTTCCTCTGGGAGGTGGTAGTTGGGGGTTGAAGGGCAAAATAGCAGCTCTCTAAATTGACAGAGGCAGACACTGTGTTTAAACTGATAGCTGATCACCAGGCTGCCCCCGGTGTCCAATTTTGATACCAAATAGACAAGAAAAGCACTGATATCTCATACACTAACTGTCCATCTGCTTGTCATTTTTAACCAAAGTAGGAAAAAAAAGGGACGGGAAAAAAAAAATCCATCAGTGAAACATTATTCAAGTCATTTTAAGGTTCTGCGTCTTGGGAAATTTCAGGTCAAATTGCAGAGCTGCGATTGAAGGTTTGCGCTCTTATCTCTGAGTGATAAACATATTGTCTTGCATGAGTTCGCCATCCGCCAAAATTCAATCCTGGAATATGCTAATTTGAGACTGCCTTTAGAACGGCGCCAATACATATGCTAATTCAGGGCTGTTTAAAGAACACTGAACATTCAGACTGTGCAGACGCAGGAATCACAGCTACTTTCTGATATTTCAGTAAAACTTTATTTGACAAACTCAAAAAACTCACAGCCCTGTTTTTATCAAAGTCAGTACATATTTAATTTGTATTTTAGAAGCTATTTGTTTCCCACTGAAAATGTTTTAGCTGCAAATATTATGCAAGTCCTTAGTTTATTTGGTGTATCAGTACTTTTCAACTATTCTGGATGGTAATATTTCCAGTTTGAAATAGACCCACCAGATGGCAGTAATGTAGCTTATGGAATGCACAGCGGCAAGTAAAATCCAAAGAAGAAAGTTGTAAGTATGGTTAGCCTAGCCTAGCCTAGCTTAGCTTTGGTGGAGACCAATTTTAAATGTTACAATAAAACCTATTACATGTTCACATAAATTTCATGACAAATTATTATTAACTCTTTTGTATTTATTAACCAAGGCTCATTGTAAAGTTTAACTCTACTAAAGAGTAAGTTATAGTTTATTTGTCATTTTTAAAATAAAAAAATAATTAAAATAATTAATTCCAACACACTATTATAGCCTTTTTTCAAAATAAAAGAGTGAAAATGAAAAATACCTTTTCTTTTCAAAATAAAAGAGTGAAAATGAAAAGGTCATAAAAAAAATTGTAAAATGGAAATCTTAGTGCTGGGAATCTGAGACAAGCATAAAGTTCTACCTTGGCACAAATGTTGTCCTATCAACTGAATTTTAAACAATCACGCAGTCTTGATATTTATATACACTAAACATTAAATATAAAAAGCCATATATTATGTCTTGCTCTATCATCCGCTGACAGCTCAACATTAAAGCTCCTATTCCTGACGCTGCTGCAAAACCTGCCTCAACACATTTCTATCTGCCACGTGGAGCTGTATTTAACCAAACACAGCTTATTCCCGTGGGTGGAGATCGGGGTTGGTGGGGGACGTGGGCTGACGAGAAGCACAGGGTGCCGGGTGTTTACTGTTTGCGGATTTTCGACCCTTGCTGTGGGGAGACAAGATGAATTTGACAGCTAATGTAAAAATAACAGACAATCATAAATCAAGGAAGCGGGCGTTGTGAGTCGATGATGAGAGTTAATCAATACAGGCCTGACTTTGCCATTGTGCGAAATGGCACTCCATTTATTACAGGGGGGACTTGGAGGAGAAACATTATTCATATTAGAGAACGCATATGCTGGTGGGAGAGAAGGGGAGTGAGTGTGAAGGAGGGAGATGCTTAGTCACTGAACTGCAGGTGCAAAAGAGCTGTACTTTACACAGACCTTGACCCCAAAACAGAAAAATATATACATTTACTTTCTAACTCCAACAACAGCCGATGGATTATTATGGGAATTACACATCATATATTTTAAAATATCCTTTTTTTGTTGCCTACTGTCAAAGCCTGGTTATAAATTCTATATGGCTAAATAGTGAGAAAGTTATATTAGCCCTGTTTACTCAGGTAACTAAGTAATAAATTGAATTTTAGATCATAATTTTACTGGCAAGAAGTTTTGAATGGAACCACTGTTACTTGGCATTTGTCTAAATCCAGAGAGAGCAAAATAAACACTGACGGCAGCTGAGATGTACTTTTTCCACTTTGCTTCAACCTTGTTGTTAAAAATTTGGTTAAAATGAAAATTGACTGGATTGAAAGACAGCACCACATACCCCAGGTAGGCACTTCTATTCTGATTTTGTAAAAAAAAAAAAAATCTACCTCTCAAAATGAACGCTGTAAAAAAAATCTACCTCTCAAAATGAACGCGTACTTAAAATGAATCGATCCACTCAATTTAAAATAGTCAAGAACTAAACTTTAACACATTTTTCATGCATGAATGACATGAACTCTACGGAGAAATGTTTTATTCCACTGGAGAACCTCAAGCTTAAAATACCACCTCGACACCCAGACCTCATCAGTGCAACACCCAGACCTCATCAAGGCTCTGACGTCGGGTCACAAGCATGGCTTTCTTTCTGACTCAGGCTCTAACGTCAGGTCACAAGCATGGCTTTCTTTCTGACTGGTCTCACCAGGCAGTAAACACGTCGGCAGCTGACAAGCTGACTGACACAATTGTCAAAAGGATGGTGAGAGACTGTGAACTGATTATCACTGTTGAGGGGTGAACGGTTTCACTGAAGTTTTGATAGAAACTCCGGACATATTCTGCAAGCCACCGTCAAAATGGCGAATGATGACTAAAATCCAAGAACTATATGAAGCTAAATTTTGAGTTACTTTTGAATAATTTGGATTAGTTACAATTAAAAACTGTTGTGAACCACAAACATCTACGGCTGTGATTTGACTGACTGTTCAGAAAAACATGTTTTCTGTCATTTGTAGGAATGTTGTTTTGGTTTTTTTTTTCTTCTAGCTTTTGTTGTTAGAATTGTTTCTAAATGGTAATTATACAACATCACTGTTGAAGAGTCAATACGACGGCACCGGACTACAAACAAAACAATCAGCTGTAATTAGCGTAAGAACTGGCAGAGTGACGCTGCTCTTCTCGTGCTGGTGAGGCAGAGACAGACAGCTCTGTGGAACACGGACTGATCTGAGTGGCTGTGTCTGCCTCCTCTAGGGGAATCGGGGGGGCCTTAGGACGGGGGCTTCTGATTCACTCCAGGCCCTGGCATGTCTCACTGATGAGCTCCAGGCAGTCCGAGCCCCATGTGGGGATTGGCTCTGACCAATATGTTCCCTTCCACTCAAAAGGACAGGGCTAATGTGCTAGAACCCAGACCTGACACCCCCTCGACACCCCTCTGCGAAATCCCCTTCCACCTTCATTTAAGACTCTCTCTATCTCGCCGGCTCTTCCACTGCTTCGTCTTCTTCATATCACAGCCTTTCTATCTGTCGCCGCCTCTCTCTGCCACGCTGATATCAGGACCTTTTTTCCCATCTTCTCTTCTAGGCTTTCTCCGCCGCTGCTTCCCTGTGCTGCAGTCATTTTTTTCCCCACCTGAGGGTCATTCCATGGTCTTGGGGAATGTATAGCTTTATTTGTATGGCACCAGCTTTTTATTGGATTCCTATTGCTTTGGAACAGAGGTACCACATTTCAAATTCATCAAGGGCCAATTTAATTCAAAATTCATGAAGTGGGCATCCATCAGGGCGCTGGCTCCAATGCACTTTGTGCGGTCTCCGAGTGCCTCCTGTATGCATAAGAGACCATCAGTAACTCCAGTCCCATTTCCGTCCCTGATTAGAAACTACTCAGTACTTTCTTTTGGCTCAATACTGTATTCCAAGACTAAAAAAAAAAAAAATCAATGTCTCAGTGGTTCTATCTGTTTGGCTATCGAACCTCCCAGCACATAACCAAAAGGCCTGCGACTCACGCCACTTTTTATTTGTTCACATATTGTTTTAACTTTTATCTTGATGCTTTGATTTAGAAATGCAATATATGGTATTCCCTTTATTCACAGTACAAAATAACACCATGGTCTTCATGACACTCCTACGGCAGGCCTGTATTTTAACAGTGCCATCAATAACTGCTCACAAAGTATGAGTGGGAATGTAGGAATTTCGCAGCACGGCAGATTTTCTGTGCCTTTTTAGCAAAAATATATTTGGAATAAAAGTTCACAAAAACTTGACTGCTAAGAAAACAATATGATGCAGCGGCAAAAAGTCGCTGTAGAACAGAGGGAGTGATATAGATGGATGGACAGACAGACAGACAGACACATTTTTTCATTCCCTCCATGTTCTTCAGAAACGTTTCCAGGTTATCTGACCATTTACTTTCCACCCTCACCGTGCCGGACACCGAGTGAAGAGCACTCACTTCTACACTTACAATTTCTATCCACAGTCCAGCTCTTTATCTCAAACGCCTCCCCTCATTCTGACCTTTGACGACCATGCCGAAAATTTCACACAATCTCCCCGCACAGCAGTGGTTGCACAAGCACTGGGAGCCAATATGTTGCCATAATTGGGCCTGTAGTGGGGGCAGAGTCCAAGGCAATTAATCCTTTCCTCCTGTTGTTTGCACCCTGGTTGGCAGTGACAGGGTGCAGCATAATTGGACAGGAGCACACTTGTCCCCTCCGTTTTACATTAATATCCCTTCAACTCCAGACTCTAACGCCGGCCAGGTTGAGAATCCCACTCCTGCCACCAATATCCACTCAGTCTCTCTTTCCTGCTCTCAGAGTCCCACCTGTCAACCACCCACCTGTCCTCCATCACCACATCAACACAGTGGGCTAACCTATAGGCTATCATTTTATTAACAAATCTCGAGCGAAACACAAATATAAAAACTCAAAATATAAATTAGGTTTAATGTATGATGTGCCAGATATATAAAATGTCAACTAAAAGAACAGAAAAATGAGCAGAGCTACTGTCCTAATTTACAGCATTACTGGAAAATTAATTCTCTAAAGCCCAATGTGGTACTTTTCTTCTTTTTTTTTTTTTGTTTGTTATGCCTGTATTTATTGGACAGTATTTGAACATAACAGGAACTCAGAGATAGAATTACTGTAGAACAGAGAGATACAGTTGTTGAAATGACACGAGTTTTGGCCCGATCTTTTTTATATATTGTTAGTAAGGGCTGAATATTTCTGACACCACGATTCATTTATACTTCTAAAAAAAAAAAGCTATGAAATACTGTCGTCTAGACCAATAATGGCTGCACTGGATTCACACACACACACACACAGAGAGAGAGAGAGAGACAGAAACGAAATGTCTTTGAAAGATAAATTTCTATTTCAATTGTTTTTCTCTCCTCTCAAGGCTCCACAGATTTATTTAGTGGAGTACGACTGGAAGGGGCCGACTTACATGACTTATCACATGACTACTGTTATCCATCGTATAAAGAGAGCATTATGTCTCTCTTAGTGTGCGCTGACTTACTTTAACCTCACACCTTGCCAATGTCATCATCTCCTTCCGCTCCTCCTTCTAATCCCCCAAATTTCTCATATTATTTTTCACTCCTGAACACCCACCCCCACCTCTCCCTCCACCTCCTTTTCTAGGCCATTTCTAATCTCTTCAAGCGACTCTTCAAAGCCAAGGTGTGCTTCAAAAACAAATCAATAGAAGTATAATAGCACTGTGCATGCTTTGTAATTTTTATATCATTAGTTTTTTTTTCTTTTTTCTCTCTCTTCTGTTTATTCCCCAGACGTGTGCTCACTTCTCGTGCACTGGGAGGGAGCGCACGTGGGGGCACATACAGTTGACTGCCCTCGTAAACTTTATTTAGTATTCTATGAATTTCAGATCAGTTATGTTTCATAATGACACAGCACTGCAGACGTGTGGCGGGTGGCGTTGATGGTGGCGGGGGACGGAGGGGGGGAAATAATGGGGCTATATGTGGTGTTGGGGTGTAGGTGGGGAGGAGACAAGGAAGGCAAAAGGAGAAAAAGGAAAAATCAATACAACTAGCACACGTTTTTTCCCTGGCATGGCTAAGAGAGGGGATCTATTGTGGGGGAATGATGATTTATGTCAGGGGTGGAAGGGCCGTCAGGCTGCGTCGGGGACGAAGGTGTGCGCCAATAATGATTAATGCTCCACCCCTTCTATCCTGGAGACAATCCAGCCAGCACCCATTTGGTCGACCCCCACACAGCAACCCTATTCCTCCGTTTTCCTTTAACACCATCACTGCCACCTCTTCCTCCCGCTCTCCTTCGAATCCCCTCCCTTTGACACAGGATCTTTAGCCCCTTTCCATGCGACTGCACCGATCGTCTTAACTCACATCTGCTGTAAACAATACTATAAATAAAGAGCCTAAATCGTTAGGTTTGTGGATAGTTTCATGTGGGGCTGAGTCTTTGTGGTTGAGTGTATCTGCAGCCCTGCCCACTGCATCAGATTTACTACATTCTTTAATTCAGATATTGGACTGGAACCAAGTCATGTTGGCAGGTTAGTGTCGACATAATGTCCGCTCCTTGGTTTCACTAGACGGACGGCTGACTTGCAGAAAATCAAAGTAGATTTGGGCTTCGTGATCACATTTAGAACTTTTGCTGTTAAAACTTTGTTCCGACGACAGTTTGAAATCACTCTGTTGAGCGCATGACACTTTCATCTAACCAGTAAAGACACCCATGAAGATCTGGAATCTAATTTGAAACCGGAGCCCAGGTGGAGTGACCCAGGTCCATTGGACTGAGGCCCACTTTGTAAACAAACATTTCCTGCCTGTTCTGTCAGTAAGATTAGACTTTTAAAGTCATTGTCAATATCTTTAAGAGACAGGTGAGTTAACTTTAAAGCCTCGACGTCCAAACTAAGGCTGAATTTGAATAAATAATTTAGAAATGAATTTTCAACTTTTGGAATCATGAAAGAATGGAAATTAGATAAGATAATTAGATTAATAGATAAATAACTGAAATGCTGTAAAGTTGTGCCTTCTACTGTGTCTACTTCTTTCCGTCAGGTTTATATCGTTTTTACCATAGAAATTTTGTATCGACATGCTGATAATTTATCAGAGTTTATATTCATATTGTGCTATTTGCATTTATATTGATCAATACCAATGCAAATAATGTGACACATTCATAAATATGAGGCAGCTGTATGGTACGGGATCAATGCTAATTAATAGTCCAGCTCCACGTTGCTCACTCCTCAATTCCTTTGCAGGAAATGTACTGTACTAAATCCCCGTTGACACACTGCGGTGATCAGGGAGTCCTTGACTTGCAGAATGTGTTGTTGTCAGTCTTCCAATTACTCTCCTCCCACCTGCCCTCTCTCACTTTCTCTCCTCATCCTTCCATCCGTCCTCCCTCTGTCTCCGCGCGGCTGTATGTATGCCACGGGGTGATGGATCTCTGGCTCACCAGCTGTGTGGCTGCAGGACAGGGGCGGTCACTTTTAAGCCCAGCATCAGCACTTTGTCTCTGCCAGAGCTGTCAGCGCTCACCACTCGATACAAAGAAAAAGAAGAGGGGCAAAGAAAGAGGGAGGTGGGAACGGCGTAGCCGGCTGAAGGTGAGCGAGACAGAGTGAGAGATGGCTGCCTGATGAAGGAAATGAATAGATGGAGGACACTCAGCAGACAGGAGATAGAAAGAGAGATGAAGGAACGGAGACAAAGTGCTTGTCTGGTCTGTCACGCCGCAGCCCTGTGGACATCAGTGTGTGCATGCGTGTTTATACCTTTAAGCAGCAAATGTTTTTACAGGAAAACAAGTGTGAGGATCATCCTCCGTACAGATAGTAGTAGTTTTTATTTTATTTTATTTTTTGCTCCCCTCACCTTGCATCACCTAAAACATCACAACCGCTTTTCCCCTACAGTTTAATTTAAAATGTTGTTGGTCTTGGACTTTACTTTAGAAGCACAACCTTTACAAAAAATAAACCCCGCTGACAGGTGAGGACAGTCATTCTGTTTGGTGAAGTCGAGCTACAGTTTTAGTTCAACAAGTCTATTAAAAACTCCACAATAGTCCTGTTCTGACTTGTATTTGACTTTAGTCATGTTTTAATCTTTGTTTCATGTATACATTTTATATATATATAAACTCTGTGGTACTAATTTATTTTTAAAAACTGCTTAAGTTTAAGTCATAGAGCACGTCCAGTTTGTTATAGACGGAGTAAACTCAGGATAGTCTGCCAGTCAATTCAGGGTCCATTTCCAGTTCCCTAAGAAAAAACAAAGCACAACCAGGGAGAGTGTACCATCTCCATACAGAGAGACAATCAACTACCACTGCCACCCTAACCTGTGATCTTCTCCCTGTGAGGCAAGAGCTTTGACCACTCTTTCACTGCATGAGCCAAGTTTGCCTTTCAGCTCTTTTATACAGTGAATGCAGCTCAGCCACTGAGTTTACAGCACTTTGACCTGGAACAGTCAGCCTAATCAGCAGAAAGAGAGCAAACATGGATACATGTTGAAGCTTCAGTCAGAATCTCTGCATCAACCACTTTTAGCTGTGTCAACAAGAGTGTCATCGCACAATTTAAACTTTTTTGTTCAAATGCTTTGCACAGACGAAATTATGAACAAGAAAGAAGGAGTTACTGGAATTCAGTGTATATGGACAAATTACATGGAAAAAATATACGCATAACTCAATAGTTTTGTTCAGTTTTTAAAGGAAAATTTGAAATATGTAAAATAAAAAAATCAAGACCCATT